GTTTTCACCAAATCTGCTGAAACTTCGTCATTTGGGGTTATTTGGGCTCCTGATTACGAAAACGACACCCGTTTTTAGCGCTGGCGCTATTTATCGCCGTTTGGCGCCAATTTGGCGTCGCAGCTGTTTTCACCAAATCTGCTGAAACTTCGTCATTTGGGGTTATTTGGGGTCCTGATTACGAAAACGACACCCGTTTTTAGCGCTGGCGCCATTTGGCGCTATTTATCGCCGTTTGGCGCCAATTTGGCGTCGCAGCTGTTTTCACCAAATCTGCTGAAACTTCGTCATTTGGGGTTATTTGGGGTCCTGATTACGAAAACGACACCCGTTTTTAGCGCTGGCGCCATTTGCGCCAATTTGGCGCCACAGCTGTTTTCACCAAATCTGCTGAAACTTCGTCATTTGGGGTTATTTGGGCCGAGCGTGCCGCACTGGACCATCGAACGAGACCAGGGTCTACGTTCATGCCCGAAAGGATTCCTTTTTCGAGAACTGTAACTTTCCTGAGTCCACGGTGTTCGCACTGCCCTATTTCTGGCTGCGCGAACATTTAGGAATGAAGGCAAGGAATAGCGAGTTCAGTGTGGCCACATGCAGTTCGATAGGGGCAGGCGTACTCTCTGCGGCGAAATGTGTGTGGGGCACTTCAGGAGGAACCCGCCGATCATCGGAAGGTTTGGGTGCGAGGGGGAAACTGACGAAACACTGGTTATCAAACGTAAATACAACCGCCGACGTTGGGTACGCAGGCACAAGTGGCTGTTTGGAGGCATTGAAAGAGGAAGTGGACTCCTTCGGATGGTCCGAAGGAAGACGTTTCAACTCTACTGCGGCTCATCATGAAGTAGTACATCGAGCACGGTACTACCATCCTCAGTGGCAGCTGGAGAGCTTACAGTCGAATTGCTGCTCTGCCCAACGCATACAGGCATCTCCAGTGAAAACGTGAAATATGCTTCTGGCTTAGCTCACAGTTTTCCACGGTCTGGCTCCTTCCTGTCGTGGGAAAGTCTCCGATTCGATGACCTTTCCCACGGTCTGGCTCCTTCCTATCGTAGGAAAGTCTGATTCGGCGACCTTTCCCACGGTCTGACTCCTTCCTGTCGTGGGAAAGTCTCCGATTCGATGACCTTTTCCACGGTCTGACAGTCGGCGCTCTGAGAAAGGTGCCTAAGAGTACGCTCTGACTGTGAAGTGTTGTTTGTGACACCACATGGCGCCGGCGTCAAGACTGGAATGTTATATTCGTGATCAGGACCCCAAATAACCCCTATACACACGTTTTCAGCGGATTTGGTGGAAACAGCCGTGGCGCCAAATTGGCGCCAAACGGCGCAAATGGCGCCAGCAAAAACGGGTGTCGTTTTCGTAATCAGGACCCCAAATAACCCCAAATGACGAAGTTTCAGCAGATTTGGTGAAAACAGCCGTGGCGCCAAATTGGCGCCAAACGGCGCCAAATGGCGCCAAATGACACCAGCATCAAAAATGAATGTCATATTCGTAATCAGGGCATCGAATTACCCCAATAGACAAAGTTTCGACGAAAAATGAAACTTTGAGATTTTGGGGCAGTAATCGTGGGATGCAATAGGGGAAGGCTGAAAACGGTGAAAACCAAAGTTTCAACTGGGGAAGTAATGCATATATTCGATAGCATTTTTCACGGGGAAGCTAACGGGGCACATTTCAGGTCTGCGAGTTCATCTGGAAATGCAAAAAATCTGAACATTCCACAAGGGCATGACGAGGAGGCATGTTTGGGGCCACACCACGGAAGGAACGCTCACTTGCGACCGAGTTTTCCACATAATTCCTACAGACAAGTGACCATAGTCTACGACAGTGAAGGAAATTCTTCGCTTCCTTTACAGCTTTCTACAAAACATTCCTCTAAAAATGGGACTTGTCACGTAATAGGGGGCAAAGGCATGACAAGGGGTGATGTTTGGGGTCACACCACGGAAGAAACGCTCACCTGCGACCAAGGTTTCCATATAATCCTTACAGACAAGTGACCGTAGTCTACGACAGTGAAGGAAATTGTTCGCTATCTTCACAGCTTTCTGCAAAACATGTCCTCTGAAAATGGAAAATGTCACATAATAGGCCCACTATGCCTGCTGAGAACTGTTCAAAGATTCCACTTGATATACAGAGGATGGGATATTGAGAGCAGAGGGAACACGTAAAGCTAGTAAGCGCTTGAAAACGAAATGAAGATCTAAGAATTCGGAAAATAACATTCATCTAATCTCACAATGTAGTGGATGAGATTGAGTACGTGGCGCATTCTGGGGTAAGTTTTGAGGCCCTTCTTTGTGTGTAGCGGTTAGCCCGCATAAGCGGGATTATATACACATCATCACATGCGAGCAACTACTTTTTGAGATGAAATCGAGTGCATGGCGCATTCCGAAATCAAGCTTTCTGAAAAAATAACAGCACCATCTTGTAGCGCTTGAAGAGCTGAGTTCAACGGTGTTTTCCGTTTCTGGAATACTTCACTCTGACCCGACTTATAACGAATTCACGAAATTAACGAGGATTCGCGTTATTCGCGTGAATTTTCGATTTCAAACGGCGAGTACTGTATTATATTTTTGTGTTGTATTGAGAAAATTGAAATTCAATAAATTTTTTTATTAATTCATCAGACGGCGTTCATTCTCTGCAGTTACAAGATCTGTTGCATTTTCGAAGGATATCAGACTATATCCTGTCATTCACATATTTCATGCTGCGTGCCTTGGAGCCTGGAAATTCAGAGGAAATGCGGTTTCAATAATTCCATTCCATAATTGAACCTCAAACCATTCGTTTTAGCCCAAAGTATCCAAAAAACGCCCAAATCTCGAAACCCACCCTAGCATCACCGCTCTTCTCCTGGACCACCGGTCAACAATAGTGCCTTCAGACAAACAAACTGATCACACAGTTGCTTCAGTTAACCTTATACCTTCGTTATCAAGAATTTCTTCTCGTTCTATTGCATGAGTGAAGTCGGTCATTTGCGCAGTCCGCTCCATTACGAAGTAAACCTTTACTGATTGTCAGTGTAAGGTGGGTAATAATTTACTGGCTCACAGATTTTGGATACCTCAAGAAATCAATGCAATAGTAAAAGCGATTATGTTAAGATTTTTATGGAATACGGTATAAGAGCAATTGTCCGGTGATAGAATTGCATGAATATTTTATTCGGGGTGACAACCAAATTCTTTTCGCTTCATGGCGATGCGCAACACTGGTGGCGAACACTCGCAGCATCTCGCGTGTCACACAGGTTGTCGCAGCAGAATGAATCTGGACGAGCGTCGCACACACAAGTCTTTCCTTCCTGCCAGATAACTTCGTTCGGTGCAAGTTTGCTGAAATAGTGAACTCGAATGACTATGAAATACTTTCAAATAGCAACTCTGACAAATAAAATGTTCGATCGGGATGATCAAAATTTACTATGACTTGATATTGTGCAGGTCAAACTCATGTCAAACTCAAACTCAGGTCAAACTCAGGGACGTATTAAAGGCGGATGTCTAATGAAAATTAGGTCTAATGATGAGGGTTCCATTTTGTTGGTGGTATCTGACAAGAAAAGGCCAATTGGTCAGCCTGGCCATTTCAATTTAGATGCTCGTCTCAATGCGTGCTTCAAAATTGCTTCAGTTATTTGAACCATTTCGTGGATTTTTTGAAGCAGGAAAGCGCTGAGGTAGTGACTCTGATTCTCAATCGATAGGTCAGCTGGGGTCAGCTCCAGTGGAGCACGTATTTGTTCCTTCCAGAAATATTTTAAAAGTTTTTGTGGCTATACATGTGGAAAGAGCAAGAGCAGGGATACCGTCGTTGTCAGAATAGGTATTGGGATTGTCCACGACCTCCTGCCTTTCAGTCAGGTTCACTAGAGCAGCATTTCTTGTTTCGTAATTTCTTTCATGAAATCGTTGCACAAATAACGGAAGCAGATCCGAACTCAGCATCTCGAGATACGTTTACAGGTATATATCTCATTGTAAAAGGCTGAATTGAAATTCTTTGTAAAACTGTAATTTACCAGATCTCAATCCTCTCGTTGTGTGAATACTCGTCTAGACACCATCAACAACCGGAAGTTGCACTGCTGGTGAGGATGAAGGGGAATTTGAAGGCACAGTTCATGATCGAGAGAATAAAATTCATCATGAAACCAATGATATTTTTCTTGCAAGGTCAACTTTGGTATCAGAGAGGGAGCAGTGCCACGAGGAGAGTGAAAACGCGAGAGAACCGCCGCAATTTAGAGGTCGTAGACGCTACGTACGCTGCGATTGATAAGCCTGGTAGCGATCGCAGCGATAAAACGATGGCGTTTGCTCCCTGCCGCGCAGAGGCGCGACAATATCACGATCCCTGTTATTAGGGATATCGCTACCTGTGGCATTTGCTTTCTATCAAATATAATTCTATAAATATTCATCAAATATCATTTGTATTTCATTTGTTCGGACTGATGAAACTGCAATTGCATTTTCTTTGCGAATAGCTAAATGCCAAGGTTGGAGCAGCGTTGAACGTCTTTCGTAAAATTCCCCTGCAGGAAAAATATCTATCAAATTTGAAGAAAGGAAAACTTATTGATTTTCGCTGCGGTACACTGTAAGGTTGCGGTTGGCGAGTTGGATAACAGCGTAGACTGCACCCTTTGAACAAGGGCACATTTCTATCGAAAATTCGAATATTAATAGCTTACGGGCTTCCATACACGCAGGATACTACCATGTTTTGCTGAGCGGGGCAGATCTTATAGGCACATCCAACCTTTCGGTTTCTATAGTTTGCAATCTGGAAATAACTGAAGTTGTTCTATGTCCCAATTAGAAAATTCGAAAAAATTAGAAAACTTACGTTTGCTAGAGGTTCAGCCCACTGGTTAGCAAATTGGTCAAGTTTCGTGCCTTTCATAAATCCCAGCGATGCGCTCACCCAATACCACGATACTTGTTGCAGAACTGTCTCTTCTTCACTGTCTTTGAAGTACAGCCTATACAATTCATTTCACTAAGCTTATAAAGGGCAAAGGTAAATCAAATTCGAGAACCATCTAGCGATATTTTGAGCCAGGCTGGTATTTATCGGTAGGGGATCATTGCATGGCGCAATCTGCTGTGCTGCTACTTCTTCCAAGTTACAATCCCAGTCCTGAAATTTTCTGTCTTTCGATTAGTGATCCTACCGAGAGTCTAGTCATAAACACACAATAGGAAAGCGCAAATACCACCCGCGTGCGCTTCTCCGAGCTTTGTTTTGGGTTACTATATAAGGCAAACTAAAGTAACATAGTCCACAGCCAAAGAGAAATGGGGGGTTCTAAAATTCGAAAATATACGGCTGTACGTCTGCTTTGTATGTGAGAAGGTGTAGCTACTAATGCGCACGACTCTTTAGGATCATCTTCACAACATTGAACTAATGCCAAGCATTTCTGGAAGCTTTGACTATCCGTTACTGAAACTTATCCGATGGGAAAGTCTGGTAGAAGCTGGTATATTGTGGACCTCCCCGTGTATACAATCTATGAAAATGGGGTCCATTTCTGAGAGATTAAAAACACTTTGACCTCTCTCGCACAAGTTTATCGCTCTAGGTTTTCGGGGCAAAACACTCAGATGAAGAATTACTCATCGCTCTCGTGTTACTATAACCACGCCCATGATTACTATTACGTCATCTACTTATTTCTATGGATGCCGAACTTGTGGAGGGACCTACGAACTATCAACACTTGAACTTTGTGCAAAGTTTGGATAAGAAGAAAAGGGATACAGGCTCACTCCCCTAGCACGTTTCCCTTGCCAATCTGAGCGCGGCGACATGTAGTAGTCTGCAAACGCCTCAGTGGAAAAGATTACGATATCTTGGATGTGGAGAAAGGGGCGGTACATCAATTGCAAATGTATGGGTCTCCAAACAAGCGAAGAGATGTGTTGCGCTCAAGGAGGCGTCTATTGCCACGTAGCTAACCCTAACCTACCTGTCGTGGTTCAGTCCACCTCCATGTGAAGGACTCGAGATATGGTTGGCTGGTGCTTTCATCGTCATTAAATGATGTAAATGTTCATTTTAGAAGAGTAGTACATTAAGCGGCCATATTAGCGAGCTTTCCTTGGCATTGCGTTACCAATGAAAGGATTATGTTCATTGGCATGATAGCGACAGTCGGGATTAACACCTACAAGCGAGCTCGCCTTGGTCGCTGGCTTGTCCAAAGCGAAAATCAAAGAGATTCGCGTGCCCCATTACGCGAGCTCTGAGCCATTTTCTCGCGGATTTTTCTTGACTACTACACACCCTTCGTCTCACGTCTACTTTCTCCTCCATGTAGCAACGATTTTCTCGTAACATTGGACTTTAAATGATGAATATGTAAATGTGCAATCAGGTTATGTTCATAGCAGTTGTTCAAATAAATATTTGAATTTCATTTCACGATTTTCGGTTTTGTTCAAAAGACCCAAGGTGTGAGGTATATTATAAGGTAATCCTCTTTTGAAAAGCAATGAATAATGACGCACCACTTTGTACATGTTCTGAGCTGGACCAAGAATGACCGCGTCTGCTTTTACTGTCCAGTTTAACAAACCTTTCCAAGTGCTATATTTCGACGAACATCATTGTGAAAATCGAGGAAAATCTGCCTCGCGCTGTCACTTTGGCTTAGACTATTCGGGCAACAAAAGCCTGAAACATGTTATACATTTCGCCAAGAGATGATCCAGCTGCTTTTAGGACTGCTAGTAGCATTGTGAGGATCACGAATGAATAATTAGCTCGATGTGCTGCCGCCTTCTGTAGCGGCCGTTCGGAGAATTTCGGGATCTGTTAGTCACGAACCTGCTTCGGCATAGGAGAACAGGGCCTAAAAATAAACCTTCAGCAAATGAAGTGCTTGCTTGAAGGCATTGTATTAGTTGGCTGGGAGGGGGGAGAGGTTTCATTGGACGTCATCGGTGGACGAACGTGAAGTAGTTGGTATACCACACCACACCCTCGGGACGCCGAGGGGTCTGGTTCCCCAATGGCGTCCATTGACGTCACCAAAACCGCTCCGCCCTCCAGTCATCTGCTTTTACTGTTGCCGGCTCGATAGTTCTGCAAGACCCTTTTAATATACCTCTGATCAAATTTAGACTTACCAGGAGAACAGCAACTACAACAGCCGCCGACATAGCAGTTCTCGACTTTGGATGGCTATCGAAATCCGCTCATGCTTTTATATGAACTGAAGCACCTTTTTCGAGCGCTTGGCTATCCCATTGGTTTCACTTAGCTTGGCTATGATATTATGCTATTCATATTATTCAGCTGATCAATAAATCAACCCTTTTCAGGGTTCTCGGCCAATTTTATCTTCACATCCAAAAATGGATTAATTCCAACATCTGACATAGGACACGATTTGGTGAGAGAGCCTCTGTGGTTGAACATTGAACTCTCGCTGACGTGAAGCCTTGGCTCCTACGCACAAAGGTGGAAGTTCGTGAAAGTGAGCGGCAAAGGAACTAGCGCCTCCGTTTGAACGCTCCAACCGCTGCCATTCCTATCCAAGGCATCTGTGCCCTTAGTGTCCAGCGCGCTCTTTCGCGTTTCCTCTTTTCGCAGAGCTGTGTTCCTCTATCGTACCAATGTTGACTTCATAAAAATTAGTGTTTTCTATGATCCTTTAGTTTTTTCTCTGCTAACGTTCCTGTTCACATTTCTTGCTTAGTTATCAAACAAAGCAATAGCCCAATTTGAGCATGAAAAGTGCTGTCAAAGCAACAACCCCAGCAGAAGTTGTGTCGAAGAATTGGTTCTGTGGATGGGATGGAGTGACCCCCGAGTATCACAAATGGGCCGTTGTCGCGCCATGAAGTGCATGGACGAGATTCTTCTCGCACACCCCATAAACATGTAACGCTAATTACGGCGTAGCGGCTAATTCAGATACGCGCGGTTGTGAAGCCGTGAAGCAAGTAATATAGCTTTCATCCTGCCCCACTCCTTCCTCAAGGAGGAAAAGAAAAACCTTTTCTTCAAGGTAGAAAAGAGGAACCTTTCAATGGCTTCATCGACGGCTTTTTGCCTCTTTTTCATTTTTAATCAAATCACAGCTCGCACCACTATTATCGGTCGCTGTGACCCCACAAATTTGATCGGAGGTGGGGTGGGGGAAGCGGGTTTTGAGTGATCTGTCCCAGTCTGTACTGTTGGAGATCCGTAAAGCCGGTCTTTACTGGGTCATTCTATATTGATTATTTACTTTAATGATAGTTATTCAGTGAAAATGCGGAACTTCATTTGCCTTCCGGCCTGAAAAACATCCTTTTCCTGAATCATCGTTCGGTAACACACTCCAAATTGACTCTATTACTACTACTCCATGCTACTGTCACGGCGAGTTTAGTAATAAAGTGGCTCCTGCAGTGGTTTGGTTGCTTCTATACTTTTATCGCACTCATTGATATCAACGTCACTAACTGTGAAAGGTGACATGGGGATCGGATAGTTCATAATCTAACAATCACCATGTAATATGAAAGTGTAATAATAATGGTCCATAATAACTCATAAGAAACCGTCCGGCTAAATTGGTTTTTTCTGCTAAAAGCGTTGCGAAATACTGGCGACAATGGGTGCGTGTTCGTTATGTTCGATTAGCATGCTTGTCAAAAGCAGCGCTCTCCGTCAGTCGCATGTTGCGTTGAGTTTAATTTTAATTGTCTCAAAGAATAATCAACACACTCATCAAGGGGAACTCTTTGGGCAGTAATGTCCTTGTTCCCTTCACTTTCCAAGGACCTTGCAGCAAGAGCAATTCCAGGTGGTAGTATAGGCAGTGCTGCCATCACGAAAGATTGGCTCCACCGACTATGCTATCCATATCTATGAAGACAAAACCCACTATAAAACTGATCTTTATAAAAGAAAAGTTGCAAAGTGGAGAGGGTAGAGGAGGGTTTATGTAGACGACGTGTCGCAAGGCATTTTATCTAAAGAGTTACAACTTGCAAAGGTATACAACGAATCCAGTCTCACCCTGTCCCGAGCGTACTGCATGATTTACTCTCAGGAGTGGTTTTTATTCAGTGTTACGGAAGTATAAAGGCACCCCTGAGAACTGCTGTTCCGGAGAAGGATGGAGAATCCGATACTTTTAATCGTTTTCATTAACTTCAGCATGCTCCGGTACTAGCTGAGTTTGATCCAGAACGGAATATGAACTACAAACATTTTTATTAGGAAATTTTGAAGAACCCCTGTTTCAAAAGTGTAAAGGCGCCCTAGACATGACGACTTCAAAAGTAAAGCTGGTTGCAACTTTTGCGATTTTGTCGGCATCCTTAGTGAAAAGACGCTACAGCTTTGGTGATCTGAATCTTTGGAAAAAAAAGCTTAAATAAAGCTGAAAAGCTTTATTTTGGGTCAAGTTCGTGTTAAGGTCAAATATTTCAGTAACTGCTCAAAATGGCTGATCTCGCGGATGTATTAGCAATTATTCTGAGGGCACCTAGCTTCTTGTATAAATAACAAACTTTTGGGAGACTACACTTATTTTCCGAGCACGAACTACGTCATCCAGCACCCCTTTTTCAGCTACACCACGTCAGTCGGTAAGATCGGGTTCGAATCTTCGCGGCATCGGTAATTACCTTCTGAAGAACTGCCAACCCAGGTAGGCACTCGCTAAATAATGAAGCCTTTATCGTGAACTCCTCCACATTTCTTGGAGCTGGGATGGCAGTTCTCCAGACGGTAATTACCGATGCCGCAAATACTCGAACCCGATCTCACCGACTGACGTGGTGTAGCTGAAAAACGGGTGCTGGATGACGTAGTTCGTGCTCGGAAAATAAGTGTAGTCTCCCAAAAGTTGGTTATTTATACAGGAAGATAGGTGTCCTCGGAATAATTGCTACTACATCCGCGAGATCAGCCATTTTGAGCAGTTACTGAAATATTTGACCTTAACACGAACTTGACCCAAAATAAAGCTTTTCAGCTTTATTTAAGCTTTTCTCCCCAAGATTCAAAGCTGTAGCGTCTTTTCACTAGGGATGCCGACAATATCGCAAAAGTTGCAGCCAGCATTACTTTTGAAGTCGTCATGTTTAGGGCGCCTTTACACTTTTGAAACAGGGTTTCTTCAAAATTTCCTAATAAAAATGTTTGTAGTTCATATTCCGTTCTGGATCAAACTCAGCTAGTACCGGAGCATGCTGAAGCTAATGAATACGATTGAAAGTATCGGATTCTCCATCCTTCTCCGGAACAGCAGTTTTCAGGGGTGCCTTTATACTTCCGTAACACTGAATAAAAACCACTCCTGAGGAGTAAATCATGCAGTACGCTCGGGACAGGGTGAGACTAGATTCG